TTGAACAAAATCTTTTCGTGGTGGGGTAAACTATGTGTGATGCTCGGACGCCGGAGCAGAATTGATTGTTTTTCCGGCCGTTATATTTACTATCCCGCAACACAAACAAAACCATCTACAGAACCTAAACCCAGAACACCACATTTGCAGAGGCCGGCACTTTCCACCCTTTTTGCCTCGCGCACGTTCGGGGATTAAGGCTCAGGGCATTTAGGGTTTAGGGTTTGGGGTGGTTGCGCTTTTACCTGGAGCCTACACGAGCTCTTGTCAGAGATGCTCCTGAGTTTACGGGTCACATGCAGAGGGTAAATGTTGTACGCTCCATGTACATAGGATACAGGATGCAGTTGGGTTGCTGGACTTCTGAACCCTGGACTGTATAGATAATGCGACTTCGTACGATTCTGAAACGGTTCGACAATGTGGGGAGATTGCGTTTAAGTACATCTGCTATGCCAACAAATGACACCTGAGTTTTGGAGGACCCATTCATCAACATTCAGGCAAGCGACATCGATTCTTTTCCCATACCTTTCGACTGTATGATGCTTCCACAACCTCAACCTTACACAGCAAGAGGGTCGCTGCTTAGCGAGAGCTGTACGATACTCCCGAAATCCCAAGACCTGCGGTTATGAATCATCGGCCTTGTGGCAAGCACATGGATCGTCGGGGAGATAATTACAAACACGACCACCGGGTTGAAGGTTCGGAAATGAAGTGCATAGCAACATAGCGTGCCCAGATTCCTGGGACGCTCAGTTTGCGCAAGCGCCTTTCGTGCCAAGCAGTCTCTAAAACCTGCCTAGCCCCCCCCCCCAGTCACCCTTGTCTACCCGAGCCCTAAACTCCAAACCCTTCACACCCTGAACCCTACAACCGTGGAGTAGATGCCCACCCCGACAAAAATATCTTGAACAAATCCTGAGAATCAGAACAGATTACACCACTGACCCAACATTGCTAGATTCCCAGACTGAAATCTAAGCCGTCGAGAGGCCACGCCAGAACCCTTACAGGCCCTCATAAAGGGTTGTTATTAAACAATCCAATTTAAGTGTGCTTCATAACCGGTCAATTTCATTAAATAGGTTCTAGAACAAGAATGCGGGCCTCCTGACTCCACCACTCCCGGCGGCGTAGGGCCTGCTACAGCGCCTCCCACGTTCCAAAAAAAATCAAAGATTTGGGATAAGGCTTCGGGAAAATTAAGGGCTATAAAATTTTGGTTGTAGGCCGAAATTTTAAGGATGTAGGGTTTTGGCTAATATATCCGTAGGGGCGCAAGCTTCAAGGATGTAGTGGTTATCCTCAAACGTGTCACAAGCACCAGCACATGCGTAATCTATCGAATGGACGTGAGTATGCACCATACCATGTACAAATATGTCGTACCATATGCCATAATTATGCCATGTGCCGTATACCTTATACCAAGTGAATACCACATGCCATATACGATACCGCACGGGTACTGTACTCTGCTGCACTGTGCTGTACTTTGCTGCTCTATGCCATGCTATGCTATGTTAGATTACGAGACCATGCTGCCGTATTAAACAATACTGATACCAGTACGAGTGCCGGTACTTATGCTCATCGCAACCCCAGTTCTACTCTTGTATACTGACACCAGCAATGCCGGTGATACTTGTACTTTACTCTTCTTGCACACAAACATACATGAATACAAACCACCACATGCAGACACACATAAACTCGTGCACATCACATACGTGCATGCATACACACATACATACGTGCATGCGTGCATTGTAGATTGTAGGGCGAATTAAGCTCTGGCTTGTCCCCGGCAGAGGCCATCTTGACCTTGCTCTCCCGCTGGTGACTCAATGCCGCTGGGGTTGTAGGCTCCTGGCACACCTCGAAAAGATACCAGCGAGGACCTTCTCGTGCCCAGGAATAGGGTTAGGGGTCAAAATCATCTTGCGACTTTCGGGAATTCCGATCTGCCTTCCAAGCAACATGCCAGTGGAACAGTCCGATGTCCTGGTCGACATTGGGGTTGTACGGCTCACGAAAAATCACAAAAAGCCAGCAGCAGGACCGTCGTCTCCCGAGCAGCATTGTTATGAAAATGAGCTGGCCCCTGCAAGCTGTCAAGGAGGACGCGAGCCACTCTCAGGATCCCAGGTGCTCGGGCAACACGCTCCAGGCCCTTGTGGAGATCCCCGTGCAACTGCAGCATGTTCCGCCGGCGCCCGCTGGTGAACTTGTGAATGGAATGTCGTGTCGCGCTCCTGGCCCCACTCCTCCTCCAAGGCTTGGAGCTGCTCCTCGGAGAGCTCGTCCTCAAAGGCCAATGACACGTGCAGCAAGTGCTGCGAAGCCTCCGGCACCCGCAGCGGCGAGGCGCCCTCAGGGCCGATGGCCGGGCTGGCCCTCCTCGTGTGGCGGCAGCTTCACGAGCTTGGCCTTGCGGGTCAGGCTGTCGCGGGGAAGTTCCCGCTGGATGCGACTCCTCGTCCTTGGGGCGCTCCCGGTACCACTGGCTTTTCTCTTCTTGGGACCAGTCGCTCTCAGAGGCCTGCTCCGCCAGGCTCTCGTACATTTATCTTGAGCCCTCGCTTGCCCAGTAACTCCGCTCCGAGGCGCGAGAAGTCCTCGGAGATGCGCTTGCATAAGTGCGAAGAGCTGTGAGTAGCTCTTCTCGTTTTCCGTGCTCGCAATCGCGAAAGCGAAGGGGATGTACTGGCTTCGATACGAGGCCACATGGTCGTTCCCTGCCTCCGCCCAGTGCTTCACGTTTACTCCGATGTTCAGCAGGGCGTAGTCGGTCAAGAGCAGGAGCCTGTGTGTGTCATCGGCCGAGAGCTTCAGCTGCCCAAACCCAAACTTACTTACCTACCTACTTACTTGCTTACTTACATACCCACCTACGTACCCATCTACCTACATACCCACCTACCTAGCTACCTACCTAGCCAGCTAGCTAGCTAGCCACATACATAGATACATACATACATACATCTATACATCCTTACATACATAAGTATATGCATATGCATATACAGGTACATATACAGACACATATGCATACACACATACATATACATATACATATACATATACATATACATATACATATACATATACATATACATATACATGTACATGTACATGTACATGTACATGTACATATACATATACATATACATATACATATACATATACATATACATATACATATACATATACATATACATATACATATACATACATCTACATCTACATGTACAGGTACCGGTACATACACATACACATATACATATATACATATATGCATATATACTTATATACTCATATACATATATACATATATGCATACATACATATATACATATATACATATGTACATATGTACATATATACATATATACATATACACATATATGCATATATACTTATACACATACACACATATACACAAACTATACACATATACACATGTACACATAAACACATATACACACAAAGACATATACACATATACACATATACACATATACATATACATGTACAGGTACATGTACCTGTACATATACATACACATATTAATATATATATATATATATATACATATACATGTGCATGTACATGTACATATGCATGCTCACATTCATTTTCATACATACACAGACACGTACACGCACGCATACTAACATACATGCATACATACATACGTACGTGCATATATGTACGTATATATATATATATAATATATTCATATATGTGTATATATATGTATATGTATATGTATATGTATATGTATATGTATATGTATATGTGTGTGTGTGTGTGTGTATACATACATATATACATATACATATCTGGAAAATCCGCATATACAAATGTCACAAAAACACATGGAGGCAATACATACCACAACAAAACGTCAACATGCTGACTCCAGTGCAAATTCTAATTGCGACTTACACGCTTGCTGCTATGTCCACACTTACGATAGTTAAGAATGTCACGGCGGTTACGACTTATGACTGGTAGTGTTGTTCATTCAAGTAAACAAACCAATGTACCAACAGTCTCTGGTACGCCTGAATGAGGAAGACACACTTCATGTTGATTCGTAGATCGGTTTGGGCTCGCAATAGCGTGCAGTTACAGCCCACAGCTACAAAGATCCTGCGAGAGACACCCGACCACGCAAGCCCGACCCAGCATGCTTAGTGCCACCTTCGCAGATGCGTGATGCCTGCGAATTCAGGGAGCCTTCCCAGAGCCGGTAAGTGATCGTACTAGCACAACATCAACCCTTCGCCCTACGCACTACACATTAAAAGGAGAATCCGAATGATCGTTGAAAACGAACCTCAGACTGTGCCCCACTGGATCCATGCAGAATTGACGGTTCAAGACGTTCTGCGGTCTTTGGTTTAGAGTCCAGGACCTCAGGGCATAGAGCCTAGGGTTAAAGGCGGCCCCAGTCGGAAACCGACCTTAAACCCTAAACCCTAAAGCCTAAACCGGGACTGACAGCAGTGAGCCCTGATCAAAACTCAGCGTTGCCTCCCGGAGCACCGGCGTAGCCACCCCTCGGGAGAGATGCAGGTTAGCTAGGATACCCAGTAACCTAAGAATAAAAAGGCCTCTCTTTTTGGTATTGGGTGACTTTATAAGGAACCTAGGACTACAAAAAAGGGAATAAGGGTACTACTGGGCATCCTAGTTAGCCGTACACCTTAAGAAGGACAGTACAGCAAATAATCAGGATAGGGTTTTACTTGGAGCATATGATAGTAGAGGTATATACATGGGGGCTATGTGTGAGTATGTACTGCTCCCAGTTAGTCAAACCTCTATGCTGATTCACATACTATAGGACTAGGAATCTTTGCTGCCCATGGATACGTGCAGCACTTCGTCTGTCTGAACGAGTCTGGGCTTACCGATAGAGACTTGGCCTCTTCCGAACCCCTAAACCCTAAACCACGCCCCAAAGCCCATGGTCTTTTTCGCTGCTACGAAGCTTCAGCAAGCTCCTTCCCGTCTGGGAAGAAGAGCTCCAGAACTTCGGGGTGCAACGATCGCTTCAGGTAGTCCCAAGCCTCCGCAACTGCCTCTTGCGGTGCCTCCTGTCGGATGACATCGCAGGCCTTCCGCACGCCGGTGGAGCTGAAGTTGGGAATCAGGCCCTTCTCAACTTCAAGTAGCTGAAACCCAGGATGAGGCCTGGATTCAGCTGCCACGATTTGCCTCGCGATCTGGGCGGAGTCGTCTTCATCCTGTCTACAGACCTAGTTCATTGTTGGGATAGGATTAAAATTGTACATTTTTATTCCTTATTGGGTTTAAATAACCATAAACATGTAAAATGTTACCCAACAGTGACAAAGAGACGATCAAGGTGGGCTGGCGCACATTCTGAGGCCGCTTCACCAAGAAGTCCGAGCCATAGACCGGCAGAATCTCCAATTCGACTTGAACTGAAGCCATGAGGAGTTCGTGTTCCAGGCACGGCCGCATTTCGGCGATGGTCCGGTACCCGCTGGCAATACCAAAAGGCACCACACAAGTCTCTCTGTCGGAACAGGCAGCTGCTTCACACAAGCGGATTCTCTCCCCGAGACTTATCGCAAGATCCCCAAGCTTCTCGTTGACATATTCCTCGCTGGACGGCGCGAGGGCGAAACCAACCACGACAACCTCACGGCTGCTGGAGCCAGCTTCGAGCAAGTGCTTGCTGTGGCGCAGCAGCTCGGTATGCCCACGATGAATAGGGTTCAGCGCGCCGGACAAGACCAGAACCACAAATACACAGTTCTCGCAGGTTGAAGACCGAACATTTGCGACGATTTTCGCGCAGTCCCAGTCCTGAGCCTTTCTTTTTGGTTTCTGGCGACCCCTGCCCATGTCGAGGAGCACCCTAGCGCTCCGGCGAGGATCCTGCCGGGGCCTGATAATCGTAATGGGGTTTTGGTGTATATAGTGTACGTACCCCGTTAGAGTAATCCTCATAGCAACAATAGAATCCTATAGCAAACCCTTATAGGGACGTAGTATACTCACAGCGGGGAACCTTAAGGAATGATGTGGGTAACTAGCGAAAATTAATCAGGCTTCTGTATGGCGTGGCTGTGCCCCCTTCCTCCCCCGAGCGGATCACTCCAAGACGCCTGCAAGCTGAAGCCAAAGCGGCAGAATGCGACAGACATCCCTGTTGACGTTTTTGTTGGACTCTGTGCTGAGGGTTTGGGGATTAGGATGTCCGGTTTAAGGGTAATGTAGGGGTCTGAGTAATTAAGTATACTATTTTGGTGGGGGTTCCTTATTACAACTATGCTCTAATGAGCCCTAAAACCCTATTCTCATTATCCCTATGCCTCCAGGGACCTTATTATGGGGTCCTTAAAGGGTCTAGGGCCCAACTATGAGGTCCTTGGAGGGATAGGGTATTAAGCCTCCTATCGAAAGTGTAAGGTTCCGGCGTTCCAGGTTTCGAAAGTCCGGTTGTCGTTGTGAACACAGCAATGCTGTAGGGTCAGTTTGTTTGTGGAGCCTCTTTTCTACCTGCAGTTCATCAGGTTGGAGGCCAAGGATGCAGCCTTGGAGAGGGCGGGTTTAGGGTTCAGGGTTACAGCCCAATTATCCAGTCGCACGTCTGGTAAAACCAGCCGATGCGCCCTACAACCACTGGCACTTAATCTGCGACACTCCGCTTCAACCTAAAAGTCGGCTACTTGCTAGCTTCGCACCACCCCGGGTCAAACAGAAACCTATCGGATTTCAAGCTTTCGGGTTTCCAGGGTTGCGCTTGTCTCAGCTCTTGTTAAGCCAAAGTTGCTGGATATAGGGGTTTTTCGGATTTAAAGGGACTAAACGCGGGCAGCAGCCCAACTCAACATGATGCCTTGTAGTGTCCGCTTGTTGCCTATCCGCGCAATTCAAAACATTCCAGAAATCCACAACGATATAGGAGTCAACACAATCCAAGCCCGAAACTTTCTAAACGCTGTGAAGCCTAGGAAACATTACGGTTTAGGGTTTAGGGTTTAGGGTTTAGGGTTTAGGGTTACGAATGCTTGTGCTTTTGGAGTGTTACATGCGCCCTAAACTCCAAGCCCGAAGCCCCAAACCTGAACTCGAAGCCCTTGCCCCTCCATTGTTGGCCTCATACTAACCCTTAAAGTAAAAGCCAGGAAGTTGGAATATGATTATCCTGAACCCTTTATGGTAAATGATAGGGTATCCTACCCTGAAACCATATTCCAACTTTCGGGAGTTCCCTTTAAGGGAACCCTTAGAGGAAAGCAATCCAAAACCCCGTAAACCCTAAACTCGTGAAAATGTAAACCCCTGACTCGAACACTCTCTAAACCGCGAGCCCTAAACCCCGAAATCGTAAATCCTGCATCCTTCACCCCTTGATCCCCTTGATTCATCCCCTTGATCCGCTTGATCCCCTAAACCCTAACCCTATGACTCCAGGGACTTTATTATGGGGTCCTTAAGGGGTCTAGGGCCATAACTATGAGGTCCTTGCAGGGATAGGGTAAATCCTGCACCCCCGAACCTGAAACCTCCTTGGTTGGAGGTTCATGGGACTTAGTAACTGGGGTTATAATTAAGGTAAGTATACTTACAGTTACTTTTTAACCCCTCTTGAGGTACTTATAACCATACTTACTAAGTCCCATGTTCCTCCGATTATAGACCCCTTATAGATCCCTTTAAGGAACCCTATGATAGTACCCCAAAAACGGAACCCTAAACCCAACTTACTAAGTTTCATGATCCTCCAAGTAGAAGATCTAGGTCTTGGGGTTTCTACCATTCTTCCATTCCCTCTTAACCAAAGGTAAGACTTTAAACCTCCTTGCTCCCTACACCCTAGAAGCCCAAACTAAACCCTATAGATCCCTCTAAGGGATCCTTATCCTCCCATTATGGACCCCTTACGAAGTCCCATGATCCTCCAAGTGCTCCCTACACCCTAGAAGCCCTGACTCCTCTGGGGCTCAAGACTCAGGACCGCCCTGAGCCAAGACTCTTTGAGTTTTGGGCTTGGGGAAGCTTTCGGGTTTAGGGGTTTAGGGGTTTAAGGGTTTAGGGGTTTAGGGTTCGGGGGTTTGGGGGTTTAGGAGTTTAGGGGTTTAGGGGTTTGTGGGTTTAGGGTTTAGGGGTTTAGGGGTTTAGTGGGGTGGCGCACACTTAAGGGTTTAGCATAAGTTTCGTTTGATGGTTAAGCTCCTTTGTCTCGTAGCCGCAGCCAGTTCCGTCTGGACTCCAACAAGGCCGTTGCGACCAAGAGTTGCTGACAATCGGGAAAGTTTACGGTTTGGGGTTCCCGGGGAAGTTTAAGGCTGAGGGTTTGGGGTTTAGGGCCTTGGGCTTACCTTAACCCTGAATAACCTACCTTTTTAGGGTTCCTTATTATGATTTCCTTATATAAGTCCTTAAAAATGTAGGTTATTCCGGGTTAAGGTAGGGCTTATAATTTAGGGTTCAAGGTAATTTCTTGGGGATTCAGGGCTCAGTTTACAGGGCTCAGGCTTGACACAGCCCTGTTTCGGAGCTTCGGCTCGCCGGATTCAGTCTCTGTTGTGTGTGTGAGTGAGTGAATGAGAGAGTGAATGAGAGAGTGAATGAGAAGGTGAGTGAGAATGAGAGGGAGAGTGAATGAGTTTGAGAGAGTGTGAGAGCGTGTGTGTGTGTGTGTGTGGGGGGGGGCTGTGTATGTGTTTATTGGAGGCTCCTGTGGGTGGCAATTTTGCTCTTAAGCTGCTTAAGCCTGAAGCTCTTTGTGCGGGTTCTTGAGAGTTGATGCAAGCTCATGTGTTCCTTGATGTCAATGCAATATTTCTGGGCATGTACCAAGCACGCAAGTCTTGGCAACTTTTGTAGAAACATCATCACTAGTGCGAGCCCGAAGAATATCTGCTTACAGCAAGTCCGTTCCTGTCGTTGTAGTAAGAAACCTCTGAGTGAGCATGCAAGCCCGTGTGTACCGGCGAACTTTTCAATGAGTTTCTTGACACATGCGCAACCTACGCGAAATTGCCAAATACCTTTCTGGCTCTACTTGGCATAGCATCGTGTGAAGGTAGGACCTTACCTATCGACCAGAAAACAGCAAGGTCCCCTTCCATAAACCGCCCACATAAATCCAATGAGACCCTGCCTGGAGGTGTTGCTGATGAAGACAAGCAGCAGCTTCACGACTCGGATTCTACACATTCAAATGACACCGCAAAACCATCCCCCCGACCACTAAACTCTGAACCAAAACCCTTTCCGGGGTATACACGGCCTGTTTCCGCTGTTGTCTTGCTGCAATGTCGATGAGGCTGCCTTGGCTACGCCTCGTCAGTTTAGGGCTGTCAAGGTTCTTTTAAAGGGAGCCACAAAGATATCCATAAGGGATCTACAAGAGCTGCGGGAATTTAGGGTTTAGAGTATGGCATGGGGAGTAGGAGTTTAGGGCTTAGGTGCATGGGAGCTCAGCGGTCTAGGGTGTTCAGGGGTTCAGGGCTTTGGGATTGCCGGTAGATGCTTAGGGGGCATATGGGCTGTAAGTTTCATAGTTCAGAGGTTTTCGGGCTCGAAGCTCGTAGGGTTGGGGGTATACACTAGGCTGTTGCCTGGGGCGCAGAGCTCAGAACGTAGGCCTTATACCGTGGGTACTGCCCCCATACAGTAACAGTCCATAATGAGAGTGCGATTGCGGGCCTCATATACCCATATCCAGGACATGGTCCAACTACCCAGTGGGGACATTATACAAATATTGATGTTACCAGAGAGCCCAAGGCCCCTTAATAAAGGAATATAGCCTTAAACCATAATGTGAACCCCCTTATAGTTTAAGGCAGATTCCTTAATTAAAGGGTATTGGGCTCTCTGGGTTTATGTATGCGCAACCCGGTTAGGAAGGGACTGAGCCTGACAAGACTTCTCCGTCGGCTCCAGGCTCTGAATGAACTTTTCGGGGTTCGGAATAAGAGACCGTTGGTTTAGGGTTTACCTAAACCTCCCAAAGTAGGTAAACTAATGGCCCAATACCCATACAAAGGCCATTATTCTACATACTTTTGAGGTTCAGGTAACTAGCATCAGGACCCCTACAGTATGGAAGAGTGTGTGTAGGTTTAGCTCCCCCCCACATTAGCCCGACAAGCTCTGCCTGCCACCACGTCGTCTCTGCTGGTCTTGCGGGGCAGCAGATGCACACCTGAAAGCCGTCTCAGGGCTACTACCTAGACCCTCCAACTACCCCTTAATATACCCTAAATACTGATACGTAGAGGGTTGGGGAGGATCTAGAAAGTAGATCCCCTAATGTGGGCCCTATACTACCCAACTACCCCATAATCTACCCTAAATACTGTTACGTAAGGACCATAAAGACTCTGTTGAAGGGCACTTGTCGGGGGGGGGGGTCCTGGCAGGCAGTTTCGCTTCCGGGTTTATTTAAGCTTTGGATGGCCGTTAATGGCTTTTAGGATTTAGGGATTACGGTTTAGGATACAGGGTTTACGGTTTAAGATTTAGGGTTTAGGGTTTTTAGGATTTAGGTGTAACACGGAGTAGGACTGTTTGGTAAAGACACGACTTTTGCGCGTTGGTCCTCAGGAGCACAAATTCAAAGTTCTAGGCGCGGGATGCCCCTCAAAAGCCCTGAGCCCTAAGCCTTACGAAGCCTAAACCCAGCGTGCGAAACCCTAAACCCTGAGCCCTATAACCTCTGTAAGCCTACGCACTCTCTAAACCTAATCCCTCTAAACCCTGTGAGCCCTAAAACACAACCCCTAAACCCTATTAGCCCTATAAACCCTACAGTAAACCATGAAGTATAATCGTATAAACCCTAAACTCTACAGCCTAAACCCCTGAGACCCTAAAGCCTAAACCCA